ATATTTAGAAGCACTGTCTAAAAGGAATTTTTATCGAGCTTATCAAAGAGTTCATGTCAGCAAATCAGTCTGATAATTTTAAGCCAAGGTCAAGTGAGGAGGATAATAGATGAGCCGACACTCGATTTTTCGAAGATGTTCACTGCGCCAAGGTTGAAATCAGCAGATTGTATCTAAATCATCCTTTCTACACCACGAACCGTGCAGGGATGAGGAAATAACGGCCCGCAAAGAATTTCTTAATGCAAGTGACGTAACGAAGAATATTAGAGCACCCCTGCAAATTTAGGTTTAGGGCCCCAAGCCCAAATATGTACTTGTCGTCAGTCAAGCTTTGGACGCTTAGAGCCAGTCCCAGTGCCCCCCAGAATGTGGGGTTTGCGGGGGTGTACGTTACGCACTGATGACGACACTGCTTAGCGGCCTACCAAGACAGTCAGGAAACCAAATAGACAGATATTATTATCTGTACTAGGTCAACATACATTTGTCAGCAAAATTTTACTTGCGTGAAGATCAAGGAGAATAAATATAGTTGCAAGTTGTTTGACGTTAACTCGCAGGCTGTGATGAGAATTTCACCAAGAAACACTGGCGTAGCTAGTTCTCCATGGGCCTTGTATCAAAACTCCTTCGGGCCCCTTTTTAAAAGTGAAAGCCCTGTTACTTGTACTGTAATCTCACACGGGGGGCCCTATAGCTTGGGGACCCGTATCAGTGATCCGGCGGTAGCTAAGCCCCTGCCAAGAAACCTCCCTCCCTATTTCAAAAAATTGTAGAAAAATGTAATATGATACATTTGTCTCATTAAACTGATTCTAAAATGTGAAAAGTGCTTGCAGTTATAGACAATATGAAATTAGTACAATAAATAAATTGATTAAAGCAACCACTATTTTATTTAGCTTATATTTATTGATTTTTATATTGTACTGAGATGTGAGGGGGGCGTGTGGGGTGCAGGGTTGACTAGTGAATGCAATCATTTCAAAATGTTGCGGCCCTTCCTGTATCCTCCACTTCCACAATGTGGCTTTCAAGTCAAAACAATTGCCTACCCTTGCCTTAGTATTTTGATTACAGGACTACTGTGCCCTTGAAAATGATGACTGACACCTGTACCCCCTCTTCAAACTATATATATACATATATATTTATACATAACACAACATTTCTCTGCTTTACATCTAATGCAAAAATTAATCTACTTGTAGGATTCATTCGATTACGATTCGGTGTTCAAATTCACTAAAATTATAGATGTCACCAGTGGCGAAGTGGAGAACATTTGGGTGGGCTCACGTGCAAAGTCAGGTATTGGGCCCTAAGTTGGATTTTACAAAGGGTAAGTACTTGGCGGCAGTCAGACTTTGGGCCCCATAGGACGCTGCCCCCGCGATGGTTGCGGGGGTGTACGTTACGCCACTGGATGTCACTAAAATATCTTCTCTCTTTCATTGCCAAATCAATTAACACATTGAGTGAGTGAGTGATTTGGGGATTTATTGGCGCAAGAGCCGATTTCGGCTAAACTGCGCCAAACATTTTTTTTTAAATATTAAAACATTTGATAAAATGTGCAAAAATATTGACAATACAGTTTCAATAAATGTTAAAATTTGAAATCACATATAAAAATCATTTTCAAATGCTAAAAGCAAACTAATTTTGATGGGTGATTTCCCCCACCAAGTCAGACAAGATCATGAAATAACAGATAGCGTTAAAAAACTAAATCAAAAAAGTAAGTTTAAAGTAAAAGTTCAATCTATTTTTATAAATAATCTAAGCACACAATCTATGCTTTATAAATAAAAAAATTAGTTCTTAAAGTTTCTGTAACGCGTTGGAGTTAAGGTGTTTAAATATCTGTCAGGACTATTTCGCCAATACTCAAGCAAGACGTATTCATCCACTTCATATTCTATCATATACTCATCCGAGAAATCTTGTATGGAAAAACTTTTGCTCGGTTTATGCGGTGCCATTTTTATTTCTATTTTAGACTTATTTGTTGATTTTACTGAATTTTTTTTCCTCGTGCGCTTAGAATTTGGTTTTAAATCCTGACTTGTAAACAGAAGCAGAGGAGGTTTAAATATATATCGGATTTGGAACTGGTTTTGGTGAAATGTTTGTTTTGTTCAATAAGGATAAAGGAGCTGAAGAACATAAACTATTGGATGTGATTGATACAAAGGGGTAACCATATTATTGGTAGATGAAGGAGCGGCAATAGACATAGGAATAGGTGTTGGAGACTCTGACGTTGTACCTGCTGTTGAAGATGTGGACATCAAGAGGTTTACTTGAATTGATGATGAGGATAATACAAGGATAGATGAAGAAATTTTTGGTACTGGCTGAAGTAACTTTAAAGAAGGGCATATATATATTATTTGTGCAATCTCTTTATCTGTTTGAGTAGTAGTGGATATTGTTGCAGATTTAGCAGCCTGGAAATATGTTTGTGATTTCTGCACGACTATTAGCTTACGAGCTTCAGATAAGAGATATTTTTATTCGTTTTTATTTCCTGAATCTGTTTTTCTATTTTCCATTAACACATTGAAGACAGTAGGCTGTGAAAAATATATTGCCTGAATTCCGGCATATTTCTTTGTAAATATTCAACATTTTGAAGACTGGAGACGTGAATTCTCCTCTTTGACTTTTCAACTGTTGGTGACAGATGATGAGAATTCACTTCTTTTGCACTAATATCAATACTTATAGAATACATTAGCCTTACGTAAATTTTGCCTTAAAACATGGCAAAATTTCTGAATCTAACGAGTGAAGTAATTTCTATTCTGACAAAATATTCAAAATAACACTGTTTAAAAAAAAGAGGTTTTTATATTCTGTAATGGCATCCCTTTAAATGTCGTGAAATTGCGTCATCCGTCGCCAAATGGTTGAAAACAATAGACGTGAATTTCCGTCATCCGTTGCCACCAGTTGAAAAATAAAAGACGTGAATTTGCGTCATCTGTTGCCAACAGTTGAAAAAAGGCGAAAATTCACGTCTCTCGTCTTCTAAATGTTGACTGAAAGAATGAGTCGAAAAATATAGAAGTTTGTTTTCTAACAAATATAATCCTAAATATGACTTAACTCGAGGATTAAAGAGCATTGAATACTTATAGTTGCAATACACATGTGAAACGTCAGTTTTCCTCTCATCAATCTTTTCAAGAAGCATTGTCTTAATGTACAACCAATTTATTATTGAAGGAGCAATTCCACCCCAAAAAAATTGAATTTCGATCCCAAAACAATGGTATTAAAAAAAGAGCTTTTGTAAAGTTTCGAACAGACCTCCTCAATATAACTCATAAATTCCGTGTCTTCAGTGCTTCAGAAATATAAAAATGAGATAATAACGGTCTCACAACGCCATTTTATCCTCCCGCGCTCTCAATAAAAGGAATATTTTAGACTTCCGAAACGGGAGAATTCCTTCTGCCTGGGAAGATTATTTTCAGAAAACATATTTTTTTTCTTCTTTTTTTTAGAAAAAAAGGGCGGAACAAAATTTTTCGTATGAGCATTTATTGTTTTTCGTCAGACATACGAAACTGTAGATTTTTTTTTTCTAAAAGATTATTTTTGAGAAGCTTTGAAAATAAAACCGAATAAATAGATAAAAGAAATATACTCCGAGTAGACTGCTAGTTCTTTTGTTTGTGACACTACTGGTTCTAGATTCTGGATTTAAAGCACCGTATATTAGTACTTTCTAGCACTCGTTATTGCTCCGTGAGATACATTTGACGAGAATGTTCCAAGAATTACATTCAAAGAAATAAACCTTTTTCTTTAAAAATAAGAAAAGAAAAAAATCTCCAAACAAATGTGTATAGGTAACTATTCTACAGTTTTCTAGAAAAATATATAGTTTATAATCTTTGGAGAGTTGGGATAGAGGTAAAATGGAGAGCTACCGCCATATTTGTCCACGAACAGTACTGATAAGTGCTTATTTTATGCTTCACTTATATAATTAACACCTCCCTAGAACTAACAAGCTACTAGTAATAAATCTCGTCAATGTAATGGATAATCGAGTGGGGCAAGTGTATCTGCAATATTTCGTTCTCAAAACTTCCACACTTTAAGGAACTTTGGCATGGTACTTCCCTCTAAATTGGGGTGCATTGTCACCCGTATGGTGCTCAAAACTACGGCTAACGACTGGCGTAATTACTAGCCCAATGCCGCGATAAAATTCGTGGGCCTCAATCTGACATCGTAAGACAGGTGGCATCAGAAACAATTACAACACGATTCTCAATATTCCAAAAAACAGGGCTGAGTGAGTGTATATTAGCATCGAGCTCTAAAGCAACGTGAGGGTTATCGGGAAAGGACCTCGTAATTTTGCAGAGTGACGAGGATGACACCTGATCTGGCACCCCTCTCCACACGTGAGAACTTCGTACCATAACAGATTTAATAGGTATCAGTCTAACAGGCGGATCTTCATTGGCATTAGGACTAGCACCCTGACTTGACAACACTGGACACGAATTCGGACTAAGACCTTTAGACTACCACCACCACGATAGCTTTCGGAATAAAAAGTGGCAATCTCAAAACGAATCAAAAGCGTAGATCGGATATTTAAACATTGAATTAAGAAATAATCTCTTTAAAAAAAGATTGTTTTACACTTGTACACACAAAAAAAAGATTATTTTTCTAGTAACCTATATGTGTGAGATCGAATCCGGATTTCAACAAAAACTGTTGCATAGAATATTGATGCTTGCTGCTGGATAAACTCAAGTTCCATATGTTGTTGTCGTGTGTTTCATACTGAGATTCATACGAAAGACAAGAAATAGGTAAACAGAAACATACAATACGAACATAGAAGAATATAGACTTTTTATTACAAACGATGATCTCAGCACAGAACAGAAAGGGTGCGCTGCTTTCCATTCGAGACGGGAATCCATTCCAGCCGGAAGTCCGACTTTTTCCCCAAAGATCCGTGCCTTATTCGGGATTTGAACCCGAGTCCCCTCGACTATAAGTCGAGTGTCATAACCACCATACTATGTGGGGCGGCTGTTATGTATGTAAATTTAATGAATCAAATATTTGATGTGGCCAGCATCACTTCAATTCTTAAAAAATAAGCATTATTCTCCAATTAAGCTAATCGGAAATAAGGATTTTAAGCCCATTTTTAATCCTCACAAGACCATCAGATCGCTAAGAGTAAGTATTAATATGTAACTGTTTATTATAGTTTGTTTAGACATAAAGTAAATAAAAATCAGAAGATAAATAATTGTAACAGGTATAGTTATTTTGGGACAATGGTTACATTCAGTTTAGATCAGTGTGTAGATAGCTCAAGCATTTGTTTTCACTTTTTCAAATATACTTAGTTGTTGCTGAGAATTATACTTACCGATTAATATAATATATGTGATAAAATACTGTAATATATTATTGCACGGCACAATAAAAACTATAAATAATAACAAATAACCGCCCATGAATGTTTTATCATTGAGGACAATGGGCTCAATTCTCATATGGCGTCATAGTCACGGGATAATGATAACCACTTATTTTCTGCCAATCAGTTCAAACACTCATGTGACATCATAGTCACTCTATAAAAGCAATCATATGTTTCCAGCTAATCAGTTCAAGCGTTTCGTTGTTGCCAACTTTTGAACTTTTCGGAAACTTTCTCTTAAAAAATAACATTTTTCAAGAACAGTAACGCACTAAGGTAGACAAAATGCGTTTTATTTAAAAGTATATGCATAAAATAAGTTTTTTTTTAACTTTAAAATCTTGTGAAATTTTTTTTCATAACATTTTGAACATAATTACCCAATTATGACATTTGAAATTTTATCTAAGTTTTACAAACAGAACAACAAGTATAATTATTTTGATGTCTGTTTTGAATTCGATGGAGAACACGTGTTTGTCTTTATCATGTGACCGTCATTGAATAAAGCCTATTGATTTGACAGTTTTTTTTTTTTTAAAAAAAGTGTATGTGCACGATAGAAGAGCAAATTTTGTAATGTTACTTCAGGAATTAGCTTCGGTGAATAAAAAACAAGAGGATATTAGAATTGTCATATAAAATTATTTATTAATATGTCTGTACTTATAAAGTAATATTTTTTGCGAAATATACAATTATATTTGTGAATTAATTGTATTCTAAGAAGGAAACAAAAGGTTTATGATAGCTGAAATAGGTTTTAATTTTTAGATCAAAATTATTTAAATATTTTTTAAAAAACCTCTGTCAAGCGTTGTGCCGTACTTCGTCGTGCTTTCATTTGGATCATTTGACATAATAAAATTGAATTTTGATTTTAAAAAATCAACTAAAGGTTTTGATTTGTCTTTGGAAAAATGTACATTAAAATCCCCACTTAGAATCATGCGTAATTTGTTCAGAAGAGCCGATCCGGCTTCAGTGTAGGATGAATTTTGTGAACAAATTCGATAATTTTCTCTACATTTTGATTTGTTGAAATATAAATAGCAACCATTAGAATTATTTGTCCATTTTCTCCTCTACATTTCGCTGCACAAATTTCTCCAATACGTGACTGATTAAAACAAAATGATACTGTAGTATTTCATGCTACATCCATTCCCTATATAGTATAAAAATAATTATAAGAAAGTGCATGCACATTGAATAATATACGAATCGATAATTGAATATTTAAATAAATAAAACAGGGAAATATAAAAAGCAAACATTAAATTAATTGGCTTTAAATTTCTTCATTTTTCAATTTTCCTTCGCCGTTAAAATTTCTTCACTGCGCTCTTTTAAATAACTGCATATATGTCAGAATGTATAATGAATATTTTTTAAAAATATGAAAATGCAGCTGTGTTACAGTTTACAGAAGATGAATGAAAAGAATGCAATGCATTCCATAATTCATAAAATTCCAGATATGATTCTGTTAAGCTTGCAAAGCAAAATAATTGGCAATCAACTTTAAGACATTTTGACTCGAATCTCTTTTCAATATTAACAAATTAAAAATAAAATATTGCGTTGAATTGATTTTCATAACAATATCTGTGAGCATTTTTAAACCTCCTCTATCCAGAAGTCTCAAATATTTTGTCTCTTCGACATTTCCATACAATAATATAAATATTGCACTTTTCTTTTATGGTTATTCCTATTGATATATCCTGAGTAATAAGTACAAGTGGGAATATAAACTAACTATATAAGTACACAAGATGGAAGGCTGAGTATTACTCAAAACCCGGGGGAAACGTCTCCTTTCTTTGGTCATGTGATTTCTTCACGTATGCAACCTTGTCCAAACACGATTTCCGACTGAAGCCGAATGAGCGTTACACACCCGAACCTGACGTTTGTTTAAGTTAACTCTTCAACAAAACGCGCCTAAAGAAGTTATCACTTCTAAAACGTTCCCGTTTACTTAATTTCGTTCGGCAAACGTTATATTTCGACCTTCTGTATAAAAAATGCAGATAGGTTACGATCAAACAGAACACGCACCAATTTTAAAAAGGAACGAAAGTTTCCTTTATTCGTAAAAAAGTTAATTGCTTAACGGCGTAAGAGTGAGTGTTTAAATCGTCCTATAAAGCAACACAAGCTATTGGCCAAGGTTCTCGTATTTTTGAGCCTTGGTTAAGTTCCGAGAACAATACCTGAGATGGAAATCCCTCTCTGAACTTTCACATCAGGTCAACGGTAGAACTTTGAGCCTCGACAGATTTAACGTTCACCAGGTACTCTATACAGCGGTAGTGAGTGATATTAAAGCTCGAACTTAGGATACTCCGGTCGAGTTCGTGACCATGACCACTAGGTTACCACGGCCACAATTGCTTCAGGACTTTTACCCTTTCACGACAGTGAATGACACGAATTTTTATTCCTCCGACTGAACCTTCATTTCATGAATTCAATTTTATAAAAGTTTGATTATAAAATGATTTAAGATGCAAGATAAAAAAAAATAGTGAAAAAAATTTACATTTAGAAAAGTAATAAGGAAAAATTTACGTTTTTCTTAATATATTAAATAATAATAATGATCCATGGTATATAACCTCTGACAATAAGTTTGGTGAATGAAGTCAGAACAGCCGATCTGGCATTTGTGAAACAAAACTCTGCACATGCGTAGCTGCAGACGTTGACCGTCTGCCCCCACCATTGTTCAGTCGAGACTTATTTGTGTTCCGTGTAAGACTTGTTTTATACAAGTGCTTGTTTAGTACTTTAGTTCTTAACTGAGAACAGGAAAATGAACAAAGAAAAAAATCAGTTTAAAGTTTTGTTTTTTAAGCTTGGCAAGACACCAAAAAAACTTATGCTGTGCTGATACGTGTTTATGAAGACCAAGTACTGTCTATGAAGTGTGGGTACGAATGGTACACCCCGAATTTATGGATAAGGAAAAAGTGTTATCTTTAGTGACGATATTCCTGACATCCAACGAAACGTTACGAGGTTTTTGAACTCCATCCCAAAAGAAGACTTCTTGCAAAGTTTCCAGGATATGTATAGCAGATCTCAGCGGCGCATAGTTATGGTAGGTGTCTATTTCGAGAAGGACAGTAGGTAACTTTTGTTAATATTTCATCTACGTTAATGTTAACAGGACTATTCACCAAACTTTATTGCCAGAGGCTGTATATATTTGTGGAAAGACTATATTTATTCAGAATTCTTCTTGAGTATACTTATCCAGGTATACTACCAGTTTTACAAAATCTTAAGTGTGACCACTGATGGCGGCAGCTCTACAATGGAGTGCGCCTGCGACCGGATTTGCTGCGGTTGCCATGCCAACCCATCATAGGAAACAGCATCCTCCTCCCGGAGCGCAATTAGGGTGGTTCGTGCCTTGAAATGGCTCGTACAGCGACAGGCAACCCCTGCCTGAAAATCAAGGGCCCCATTGATCCGTCCACAGTAATAGATGACTTCTCTATTTACCTTCCCTGTTCTTTCGTTTTTTTTATACCTCTCCGGAACACGCAGGATACAATGAGAAGCCGCAGACGTCTTGGAGAAGGCTGCCTCCAAAGAAAAGCTTATCTGAATTGTAAGCGATAGGAGGCAGAGAGAAATATTATGGCTTGTCGAAGCGAGTAAAGTATTACAGGAGATTTTTTTAATGGGTCGTTATAGTTGAGCAGCTAATATCGATCAATTTTTGAGATATTTTGTGGGGTTCATTTAGTATATTCTTTTTTTAGATTGAGTGAGTGTTTATAATTACGCACTATAAAGTGACTCGAGAGCTATTGGCGACGGACCTCGTAATTTTGAATCATGGTCAAGTGAGGAGGATGATACCTCAGCAGCCCCCCTTTCTCATTCCAAACTACCACACCACGACCATGGGAGGTCTTCGAGCCTCGACTCCTCTACGCGGCGGGACTTCAATGGCACTAGGACTCGTATAAATGACACGCCGAAAGCGAGTTCGTGACCATGACCCCTAAGCTACCCTGGTAACATGAAAGTATCTCAAGGGTTAATAAGGACTTCGAATTATATTTAAAAAAAATCCATTCCTTACTAACTGGTGGGATTTAGATAGGAAAATAAGATTATAACTACGATGTCAACCTTACAAGACTTGATTGCGTTTCAAAATAGCAAATTTTTAATTTTTACTACCAATGAGACTCAGTACACACACAGTTCAAGATTGGCATTCCTTAAAAATACTCTAATACCTTGAGAACCTCCTGAAATACCTCCAATAGCCGGCATATCCAAGTTCGAGTCCCAGTGGCACTGAAGACCCGGCGTGTAGAGGAGCTGATGCGCGTTAAATCCATCGTGGCTCAAAGTTCACCCGTTGGTGTGGTGTGGTTTTATGGAATGGGGTGCCAGCTCAGGTGTCCATTTTCACTTGAGTAGCCCTCAATTTGCTTTATAGTAAGACTACAATAAACACTCGCTGACTTTCTAATTGAGAACTTTGAACTTTGACAAATTTAACCTTCATTAGCCCCTCTATACATTAGTTTTTCAGTGGTTCGTTCTAGGGTTCGAACTCGTAC